ACACACACACACACACACTGCGATGACCACTTCCTGTCAGGGAGTGGCCGAGCAGCAGTGTGGACAGGTGTGCGTGTTACCTGGCGATGATCAGGGTCCAGTTGTACATGACGGGGATGGTGATGATGAAGAGCCAGTGGTAGTAGGTGTTTCCTGCCGGGTCGATCACTGTGATCTCTTTGGGGCTGGAAACACAGTAAGGAGGGATGATTATTGATGAGGAACATATGAACTCATTACAGTCAAGTGATGAGTCTCTAGTGTCAACCAAACCCACGCCTCCTCTTTGGCCTTCTTCTCCTTCTCCTTCTTCTCTTTCTCTTTCTCCTTCTCTTTCTCCTTCTCCTCCTTCTCCTTCTTTTTCTTCTCCTTCCTCTCCTTCTTCTCCTGCTTCTCCTTCCTGCAAGAGAGGAAGACGAAGAAGAGGAGAACTGGATTAAACTGTCCGCTCAAAGGAACAGAGAAATAAAGAGCTGCCTCCTCATTGGTCGATCGGAAGTTAAACATTTTCACGACATGTGAAATTCATCAGCGTCGTCTCAGACACGACGTCTGTGGTTGGAAACATAAAGACTGATGTTTCCCTCTCAGACTGTTTCATTCTGATGTTTTTTAAAAGTTTAAAGGTCAAATTTTCAGCATTTCAAAATAAAACAACAGAAGCAGAAATGTTCTTCTTCCCCTCTCTAACGCTCAATTCACATTTCTCTTGTGGCCCTTTAGTGGGATCAAACTTACTCCTTCTTCTCTTTTCTCTCTTTCTTCTCTTTCTTCTTTTTCTTCTTCTCGTCCTCCCTGGAAGACAACAGGAAACGCATCACAGAGGTGAGCTGAGCGCCTGCTTAAATACCTGTACGTGTGTGTGTGTGTGTGTGTGTGTGTGTCGTACTCTTCCTCGTTGTTGTTGATGTTGTTGACGTTGAAAAGAACTCCAGCTCCTGCTCTTTGAGCAGCTCTGAAACACAGAAAACCAAGTGTTAATTAAACTCAAATTAAAAACCATGTGACCTCCTCAGGTGCGACCCTGGGACTTTTAAGTTTCGGAGACAACTCACCTGTCCCCCTCCCTGACGTCACCTGACTCCTCCTCCATGTCTTGTAGAACGATGGTGGGCGGAGTTAAGGTGGAGGTGGAGGGCGGGCCTAGTGGAGCCACTTTAGCCATGGAGGAGTTCTTCCTCTGACGCTCTGCGGACACGGACCAACACGACAAACATCAGGCCCCAGTTGTAGACAACAACTACAACTCCCATGATGCTTTAGGGCTCTCTGCAGGACGGTGTTCAATTATTAATGGGCGGCCACAGCTGCAGGACATCTGCACTAAAACCAATATATTACCAATCAACTTCTAAACCTTTACACCTGATGACAACCTGATGCTGTGTTATCACTGGCGTATGATTTGTACGGTGGCCCTGAGGGTTCAACACGCAGCTCGTCTGTGCAGCAGGTTGTTGTGACATCATAGTCAAGTTTCGTTGCTAGGCAACATCTAGTGGTCGTAGTGATGAAGAAAAGTGTCGGTGACGTAGTCTAAAGAGAGACAGAGTCCACGGCAGCTGGAGGTGGTGGTGGATGAATGTGACACAGGAGAGCAACGTGTTCGATTCCCACGTTGTTGTTGTGAACTAGTTGTATCGTTGTGAACTAGTAGTCTTGCTGTGAACTAGTAGTCTTGCTGTGAACTAGTTGTATCGTTGTGAACTAGTTGTCTTGCTGTGAACTAGTTGTATCATTGTGAACTAGTTGTGTTGCTGTGAACTAGTTGCTGTATCAGATATAAATATGACTGATGTGAATATAATTATAATAATTACCCTCCATTATCTCCTTACTCACCTGTCAGCTGATAATCTGCAGCCCTTGGTTACGTGGCCTAGATCCACCAGCCGTCCATCAGACGTATCGCCATGGAAACAGAGGAGTAACCCCTCTACACATACACACACTCACACACACTCACACACTCACACACACTCACACACACCTGGCCCGTTTAGATCCTCTAAAGTGCGGAGAGAAAAGAGGAGAAAACGGAGGGACGCGGCGGAGGATCCAGTCTCCTCTGTCACCCTGACACGGATAAAGAGATTAGAGGAGGGATGATACCGTCTGTCTCACACACACCTACAAGCAGAGGCGGGTCCACCCTCACTCACCTGAGAACATTTACAGCAGCACAGGTGAAGATGCACCTCTCAACCACAGGTTCAGTTCGTTCAGACGAGCAGAAGAAACTATATAAGATGAAATGAGAAGATAGAGGTGAAGGAAACACAGAGAGCTGATGAAGAGGACAAAGGAACAAATGCGGACAGGTGAATAGATGAAGGACAGAGGGAGGGAGGATGCAAGGAAAGGAGACAAAAGAGGCAAGAAGGAGACAGGAAGAAAAGAGGAAGGAAAGGAATAAAAGAGAGAATGGAGGGAAGAGACAATGAAAAGTGACGAGGAGATTAGTTCACTGATCCTCCTGAGTCAGCAGTGTGACACTAATACACACACACACACACACACACACACACACATACATATACACACATATACACACACACACTCACACACAAACACACACACACACACACACTCACACACACACACACACACACATATACACGCACGCACGCACACACACATGCACGCACGCACACACACACACACAGTTAATTCCTAATAAGCCTATCAAAGCTGTCTGTTAAACGCAGCAGCTTGACTGTGTGTGTGTGTGTGTGTTTGTGTGTGTGTGTGTGTCTGTGTGTGTTTGTGCGTGTGTGTGTGTTTGTGTGTGTGTGTGTGTATGAGTGTGTGTGTGTGTGTGTATGAGTGTGTGTGGATGTTTTTACCTCATCAAAGTAAGACTGACTAAAGCTAAGCTAACAGCTAACAGCTAACAGTACGTATTTGTGTCATGTGATACTGATGTTATAATAAACCAAACAAACTCAACTTTAGCTTTTATAACGCAGTAAATCCATGTTACAAAAGACAGAAACTGTGACAGTCAACGTGTTTAATATAAAGGGTATTGATTCTGATCAGAGTATTGATGATTGATAAGAAGTCATGCTCGGCTGCTGATCAGCCAATGCTTGCTGGGCTTTGTTGTAGGACAAGGTTGTTGCCATGGAGACGAGCGGGTGATTATCTGTTATCAACAGGTATAAGTGGAAAATGTAATCAAGCATAATTATTGATCTGCTGTAAGCAAGCTGAATGTGACATTAATGATGTCGACTGATTCCGAATTTTGATTGATTGATTGATTGATTGATTGATAGTGTTACCTGTAGGTCTCTGTCTATATAAAGACACCATGAGGACAGTGGAGATGAAGTACGGACTGAACACCACCAGGTAACGGATCAGGAAGAACACAGGAGGAGGCGGGGCTGAAGGAATGGGCGGGGCTCCAGAGGTGGGTGGGGCCATAGGAGTGACTGTAACGTCATCATATTACAGGAGGAACCAGCTGATTCTCCCCAGTCGTCACACTGGGGAAGATCAACTGTTTGTCAGGAGCTGTTGGTGCAGCAGTTTGTTCTGTTTGTCAAAGAGAAGTCAAACTAGTTCAAAAATCATGTTTTACATTTCCTGTTTCTCAAATGTTGAATAACGACAAAGGCCACTACAGAATATTCTGTATGTGTTAAAACAAGTCGTATGTAAATTCAAACATCAGTTGTTTTACCGTGTGTTTGACGTCACTCTAACCGAAGCTACGACAGTTTACCTTTTGTTTCACGTCAGATATGATCAGTGTGACATTTGAAAGCTAATGAGATGAAGCTAACAGTTAGCCTGCACAGGGGTTGAGCTAAATGTCACCAGCTATCAGTCTGTCACTCAAACACTGACAGAGATGATGGAGCGGAGGATAACGACACAGTTCTCTGTGAACGCTCAGACCACGTCATCAAAACACTCACTTTTGAAATCATGCTTTAAACAAAGGAACGAAAGAACAAACACACTTTCTACTTTACACTTTGTTCAAGCCTTAAATATTGTATTAATTAGGAAAACACACATACACACCTGAAGCAGGTGAACACCAGCCTGTCTGAGCCTCAGATGAGCTTCAGTGAGAAACCTCAGATATTACAAATATGTAAATATTCTATCTATCTATTTCTATATTTATATTTTTTCTGACTGTCACTCCTGATAATAAAGCTGATGTTTTCTTCTTCTCTTGTTTTTACAGGTAACTGCACAGTACAGTGTTTTACTGACACCCTGAAATCACTGCAAATCACCTGCAGCGCCTCTCCCGGACCACCAGAGGGCCGCAGGCCGCCGGTAGAAAACCTCTGAGATAAGACGCTGAACATCACACATCAACATTAATCATCTTGCTGTGACGTGACTCTGAAACAGTGCAGGAGTATTTCTGCAGCAATCAGGCTGCTGATCCAAATCTTTATGATTATCAGTGCATGTTATTATCAAAGCAATATGCAAATCCTCAACAGACTTTCTCCTCTTTGAATTGAAAACTTTCACCTAGAGGCTTCATTCAAACATGTAAGGGATCACAGGACTTTCATCTGTTAACCTTGTGAACAGCTTTTTGTGATGTAGAGTTTTTGATTAAGTAGTAGTAGTTTAAGTTTTATGGTTTGTTCAGACAGAGAGTTTATAATGGGTGTGTATTGCATGAGCTGAGAGAGGCGCTTCAACTCATGTAAAAACTTCTAACTCGTCCTCAGGACACAAATGTCAGTCTACACACATCATTTCTTCCCACAACGTAGAAAAGATGGTTGTGTTTCATACAACGTGCTTCCCAACGCACTGCAGCGTTTGCACAGTGAGCGACCTCCAGCTGCCCACAGGCCGCAGGGCGAGTTCACAGGCGGATTTCAGGGAGAAACAGAACAAGTGTTTCCTTTAACTTTAACTCCAGAGACACAGAAACGGCCTTTTCTCAAATCTCTAAACACAGCGATGGATGACACAACACAAATAAAAGGCAAAAAGAAAATATAGTGGTAATTAAATTCCTCATTTATTTAATCGACCTCGGCAGTAAAACTTCTGATGGAGACACAGACAGTTCACACTCACGATGCACGATGATGATGATGAAGATGAAAATAACAATATTTATCTATAGAGAGCTCCTCTACATCCAAGGTACAAAGAACTCACAGAATACAACAAGCAGGTCACATGACGCAACGGAAACTGTGACAGTCAATTAATATAAAACGTATTGATTCTGATCAGAGTATTGATGAGTGATAACCTGCAACCTTCAGAAGTCATGCTCGGTGCTGACCGCTGTGACATCATCATAGTCCTCAGCCAATCCTTGCTTGGCTTCGTTGTTGGACAAGGTTGTTGCCATGGAGACGGGCGGGTGATTATCTGTCACCAGCAGGTGTGGAAAGGTGGAAAAGGTAAATAAAGCGTCATTATTGATCTGCTGTAAGCAACATGAATGTGACATTAATAATGTCGACTGATTCAGAATTTTGATTGATTGATTGATTGATTAATTGATTGATTGATTGATTGATAGTGTTACCTGTAGGTCTCTGTCTATATAAAGACACCATGAGGACAGTGGAGATGAAGTACGGACTGAACACCACCAGGTAGCGGATCAGGAAGAACACAGGATGGAGGGGGGCTGAGACAGTGGGCGGGGCTCCAGAGGTGGGTGGGGCCATAGGAGTGACTGCAACATTGAGTGGAGCTGAGGGAGAGAGAATCACACCTGGTCAGGTGAATATCAGCTCCTGTTTTGAGTGAATCGTGGACGTACAGTCAACTATCATCAGATTACTGTGATACTGAAGGAGCAGAAGCAGCTAGTGTTGGGGGGGGGGGGGGGGCTCTGTCCTCTTTGAGTCTCTGCTCCTGTGTGTCAGAGACACTGTAGGTGTAAGTAGCAGTAGCTAACTAACTGAATCTACTAATCTGAATTAGACTGTGTCAAGTACCTACAGATGAATGCTAACGTTAGCTAGAACTTTAGCTTTAAGTTACTATAATGTTACCTGGTTTCAAACTTTAGCCTTAATTTACAGTTCAGCTAATTAATGTTAGCTAGCTGATAGCATGCACCCTTTCATCTCCAGTGTTTTTCATTACTAATATAAATGTCATATATGATCAGTTATGAGCAGTGAGACGATGGAGGATTAGTTGTTGTAGAGAAATGATTTGCTTAGCTTCATCAACACTGACTCCACAGTCTGATCTTACCAGTGACAGTGATGCTGATGCTGTTACTGGTTGCTCCCTCTCTGGACTCACACCAGTAAACTCCACTGTCCTGTGGGAGGATGAAGCTGATGCTACAGGAAGAACCAGCTGATTCTCCCCAGTCAGCTCCACACTTAGACATCAATTGTCTGCTTGTGTTCCTCATCAGGGTCCATCCAGGGTTAGGGTCCTCACAGCTCAGAGAGACAAACTCATTTTCAAACAGCTGAGATCTGCTGGGACTCACCGTCAGACGAGCTGGGGAGAAGAGGAGAGGACATCAACACATTATCATTTAAACTTCATGATCTTTTTATGGCACCTTTTACAACCATCACTGAACTGCTGTCACAGCCCAGGAATTTCCCTGGTTAACTGCAACGTTAACTATTAACAAAAATATAAACTGTGTGACATATATTTTATATTATTATTATTATTGTTGTTGTTGTTGTTAAACATATTATTATTCCATCCATGCTGTAGTGTCAGTTCACTAGTGAAAGTCAGGTTTAAACTGTGTAGAAGGAGTTGACTGACCTGAGTCTGTGGTGCAGCACAGCAGGGAGATCAGAGCTGCAGAGACGTGATCCACAGGTTAGTTAAAGGTTTCACATTCACCCAGAGCAAACTGACAGAGTGACGTAGGTTTGGTTTTGTGTGAGACCAGATGTTTCACTCTGTTCTGTTTGTCTTAACACTAAACCATACAGAATGGACGGTTAAAGCAATATCCATGCTTACTTGTAACTTTATTGTCATGAACGTCACAACAAACAGTATTCAGCTGGTAACCGCCTCCTCCCAGTTACTGCTGATGTGATGTCAAAATATTATCTTTGAAAAAATGAAGTAAGTCCGGCTAAAAGTTCTGACAGTCTTACAGGGAAACAACTTACAGACTGTTACACTACTGTTACTGTGGTGGGTATGACGTGATTACAGACCTGGCAACCTGTACGCATTTTGACATCAGAGTACGTTGTAACGATTTGTCGCTAAACCACACAAAAAGCTGTGAGTGGTTCAATTGTTCACATGCAGTAACTCAAGTCTAACAGCAGGGGCAGCAGCGCCCGGTCTGCTGGGCAAGAGAAGAAGAAGCGTTCGACCAATGACAGCGCTCGGTTCAGTCCTTCAACTGTGAAGCGGGATAACTGACAAAATAATGTCCGTCATGTAAACACGGCAATAGAAACTGGTCCTCACTCCGTCTGGCTGCTTCCTCAGCTGAAGGCGGGACTTTAAGTCGTCTTCACAGGTAAACGGGCCGCGATGGATGTGGAGACTTGACTGTGAATTGAGTGACGTTAACCCTGACCGTGACGAACCTGCCACTAACGTCTATAACATTAGCATAACGGTGCGTAGTTTGCTAGCTAGCTAGCTACCGGGCATTTAAAAGCATCTTCGCAGTGTTAACGTGAAGGTTCATAATACTGTGCCGCCGGAATAACGTAAGTAACATTTATTATTTATTTAAATATTTATTCACGTAATAAGTGAATAAATATGTAATTTTTAAAATTAATAACAGGATGAAATTCACGTTTATCAGTTTGTATCACCTATCATACAATTGAATGACTCATGAAAACAATGGCTTTAAGCAGCTGCACTTTAACTGTATCTAATAATAATATATCCCAGTGTAAGTGGTATTTTAGAAAAACATGGTCAAAGCTCCCTGCCAGTCAAAATCCAGGGTTCAGCCTCCTTGAACTGATGTCACATGGTTCACCCACAAACAGCTGACTGTTTCTAAATGTAAATATGTCCTCTCATCAGACTTCTTCTACAGAATATATGATTGTATTGTTTCCTTCATAGTCAGTTCATATGTTGAAGAACTTGATGTTGGTGAGTGAATGAAAAGAGAAGTGGTGTAGGTTGGCAGGTCTGTAATTGGGACATTTTGACAACAGTTTGACTTTAAAGGAGTTATTTATAAGTTTTGCTACTGCTACATACTGTAGCTAACGTTAGCATTAGCAGCTGTTTACAGTCTAGTAAAAAATATTGAGTTCACCATAAAACTTAATTCCTTTTCTTTTATTTCTACCTCAGCCTGTCCCATCGTTACCACGATCATCACCTGCTCCCAGACAGACACCACCTTCAGCGGAAGAGAAAAGTGACAGAAAAAGAAGCAGGAGGGTTTGTTTCCACCTCTGGAGACAGATGTTGGTGAGTAACGGGATGAAGTTTGATGCAGAACTCACAGCATTTCTTCTAGACTGGAAAGTAGAGAACAAATCAAAGCTCAGACATAAAGATAAAGAGAGGACTCACAGAGCAGACACAGCCGACAACATGTCTCCATCTTCACTCTTTGAGGATGTTAGAGCTGCTCTCTGATCAGCTCATAGTCACTGAGTAAAACCCTCCTCCTCCCTCTGTCTGTGGTTCACACTGCTGTGGTTTCATCTGCACAGAAAATGTTTGAGCTTCTTTCTTTAGTTGCAATAAAAAAGGGAAACAACAGACTGAAACACGACATGAAGTAAAGAAAGACAAAAATCTAGTGGCTGCATGATGCCTTCACTGACAGTAGGACTAACTCTGACTGATGTTAGTGGCTTTGTTCAGAAAGATTCTTGACTTTAATTTGAAATGATTCAAAGAGTTTCTTAATAAAACATTCAGTTCATCATTCTCTAAAGACTTTGACTTTATAGACAGAGATACACGTTGATGGAAACAAGCTGCTTCTTCCCGTACATGAGTTTAGTTGACAGGAAGTGGGCAGAGGGGGTGTTTGACCCTGCATGAGTGACAGCCTGTCTCTGCTTTAACCAAGGTGATGTGGTCAGGATATGACATACATTCAGTGTGTCGCTGCATCAGTTTGCAAACACAGCAAAGTGAAGACCCTGACTCAAGAGGCCACGACATAAAGGAAGCTGCACCACAGGCGTCACTAATAAAGAACATTTTATTGAACCAAATGAAATGTTAAGGTGTGAGGTGTGGGACTCAGTGAATCAGTAGTCTGAGGTGTGCATGAGTGGAATATGTGTGGAAACTGAGACGTAACCAAACACAACATGACACGACCTGATCAGCTACGCACAAGAGGATAGGTCAGACCAACGGACACCACACCCCCAAGAGGACCCCAGGGGTCGTCACGGCAGCGTGGTGCTTTCATTAAAGTGTGCACCTGATCATCATGCAACATCCACGGGATGTCCAGTGTCTCCAGATTTGAACCCAACATCGAATAGATAATTTATGTATTTATTCATTGAATGAAATCAGATCCAGATGTGCTCTGATGTCACGCCCCTGTTGTCCTCAGGGTGCCACAAGGGAGTGATATTTTCACCGTAACCAGCCCCATGTTTCCACAACATACGCAACACAATATCAGGATATTTATGACGTATAGATTAAACCACAGAGATCAAGCTGGCAGCAGTGTGTTTGTTGTGTGCAGAGCTGCATGTGCTTGTTTTCGAATGTGGGCTCTTTTCAATTGTGTTCAAGTTCAACTGTGTGTGTGTCAATGGCGGATTTAGATTTGGGCGACATGGGGGGGGAGTAAAACTCTCACGGTCAGTTTGGTCCCTGGTTTGGTGGCCTACAGGTCTGGTCATCAGTTAATCTGCTGTTATTTATTAAATAAATACTAGAAGTAGCAGAAGCTGCTGGTACTGTAAGGATCAGTGTTATCCTGCTGGCTGAGGACTGACTCTCTGCTGACACCTGCTGGTTTAAACCAAGCATCAACCTCCAGACTGAAACATGAAGCATCAACATGAAGAACCAGACGCTGCAGTTCCTCTAACGACCACTAGAGTCTGGCTCCAACAGTGAGTCAGTCCCCATAGACTCCCGTGTTAAAACGTCCAACTTTACAGCAGAAATAAACATGTTTACAGCCTGGTACAAAACTGTTTGGGTCTCTAGAGATAATTTCCTCCTTCATGACACCTGTTTATATAACTCACCTGTTTATAGAACTCACCTGTTTATAGAACTCACCTGTTTACATTTTGTTAAGGACTACAGTTATGGAGGATTGAGGGCGTGGCCTCTTTGAGTGACAGGTGGGTGAGAGCTTGCTACAAGCTGGCATGAACCGAAGTCTGCTCAACATGCGCCCCTCCTCTTTGACCATATTTGGATTCACTGTTGTTCCTATGGAGTCATGTACTGACAAGATGCCCAGGGGTCTCCAGAAGCAGCAGACAGGTGCAGCCAGAAGTGCTGTTCAGAGTGCAGGAGGACTTCCCTTTGGCCTCAAGGATAAAATATTAAAATCTACATATCTGTGTAACGCTTTCTTTGTTAAAGACATGAATTTGATACCAAGAGCTTTCCAAATCACAGAAGCTGCAGTTTATTCAATGAAGGTAAAATGTGTCACGTTGTCGTGCATTGTTAGCATTAGCATTGTTAGCATCATACATGTTCACACTCACATTGTCATAATTTTTTATATGTTTTCAGTCATTAACCGCAGCGCTGTGGGTTAGAGTCCGACCCGTGGCCCTGTACTGCGTGTCATCCCGTCTTCTCTAAACCTGTGAATCAGCATCAGGCTACATCTCTTGTTACCCTTGATATTCAGTCATTTTGGGTCATAAGCACATAAAGGAATGTGTACTGGCTTTTTAAATTCTCACAAAATCACGTCACCACATCACATCACATAAAAGGTGAAACCCTACTCCGCTCTGATGAAGCAGGTAAAAACATCTGTCACATCTGCAGCTTCATGTTGCAGCCAGTCTGGATCTTCAGCTGCTGCTCACCTACATCACTCTGTCCTTTCAGGTTCAGTCCTTTTCATATTCTTGTAAATCACGTGACTCCTCCCTCAGCTGTGTCACAGGTGGGCGTGGCATCAGAGTCTGAACGTCACATTGTAGCGTCGCTCTGAGATTCTCACATAGTGAGTTGACACAGAAATGAACATCAGGTTCAGAGGTGAGAGATGAAGCTCCTCCCCTCTGGCAGCAGCAGGAACAGGTTGTGTGAGTATGTGTGGAGTCTGCAGTGATGCTTCCTGCTTCCTCTTTCCAGTCTGGATCTTCAGCTGCTGTTTTGTTCTGTGTCCAATCAGTTCAGGTGCTTCATACGAGCAGAGCTCCCTGCTGTTTTCTTGTAAATCACGTGACTCCTCCCTCAGCTGTGTCACAGGTGGGCGTGGCGTCAGAGTCAAAGGGAGCTGCCCACAGAACATTGTACCGCGGTTGTCTTCGGTCACAGTCCACTTACTGCCTTTCAGCTGCTTCACACTGCCTTCATCGATTCTCCAGGAAGCTGGCGGTTATTAACCAGCAGAAGAAGAAGATGTTTTCTTCAGTGCTGACCGTCTGTGTGTGTCTCCTCACCTGTCTCCTGTCATGTGTGTCAGGTAAGCAGTGTGTGAGCGGCTATATGGAGGAAAGAGAAAGTAGTTGAGCTTGTGGTGAAGTTACTGTAAAGACCCGTATCAGTCTCTGTGTGTGACGGAGTCTCTGAACATGGCGGAGCTTCACTTCCTCTTGTTACAGTCGATATCAAAGCGAACATCAAGTGTGTTTCAGAGGTTTATGTCAGAGAGGAAGACCAGATCCTGGTCTGGGATCAGATGGGTCACTGAGGACGAGCTTTAGGCTCCTGGTGTCA